CAGCTTCCGGATCCACAACAAGGGCAGCCCCATGTAGAGAGTGTTACAGTAGTCTAGTCTCAAGGTGACCATCGCATGGATCACTGTAGCCAGATCGGCGCGGTCAAGGAAGGGGACCAACTGCCTAATCAGCCTAAGATGATAAAAGGCCAACTTAGCAGTGGCCACTACCTGGGCCTCCATAGTAAGGGAGGGATCCAAGAGCACTCCCAAGCTCCTAACCTCCAGCACTGGCACAAATGGAGCCCCCCCGAAGGTCGGGAGTGGGATCCCCACTCCTGAACCACCCCGACTCAGGCATAGACCTCCGTCTTCGCTGGATTCAGCTTCAGCCAACTCAGTCTAAGCCAACCAGCCACGGCTTGCAAAGCTCGGTCCAGGTCTTCTGGCCGCCCAACATCAGATAGAGCTGGGTGTCATCAGCATACTGGTGACATCCCAGCGGACCCAGCCCATGCCTCCGGGCAATCTGGGCAAGGGGGCACATATAGATGTTAAATAGCATCGGGGACAGCACTGCCCCTTGAGGCACACCGCACTCAAGTGACTGTCTCCTGGACTGCTGTTCCCCTAGCGCCACCCTTTGTCCCTGACCCTGGAGAAAGGAAGCAAGCCATTGCAGGGTAAGCCCCTGAATCCCCATGTCGGCAAGGCAGTGGACTAGTAACTGGTGGTCGATCATGTCAAAACGTGGCTGACAGATCTAACAACAGCAGTACGACCCGCCCCGATCCAGATGTCTCCGGAGGTTGTCAGTCAGAGTGACCAGCACCGTCTCTGTCCCATGTCCCGGGCGGAAGTCGGACTAGAAGGAATCTAATGTGGAAGCATCATTCAGAAAGCCCTGCAGCTGTATCGCCACCGGCCTCTCTATTAATTTGCCCAAATAGGGCAAATTAGAGACTGGCCGATAGTTGGCCAATTCAACCGGATCTAGAAATGGTTTTTTCAGGAGAAGGCAGACCATCACTTCCTTGAGTGCCCCAGGGAACTGCCCCTCTAAGAGGGACTTGTTTATAATTTCCCTTAGGGCACCTCAAAACCCCTCATGGCCAGATTTAACGAGCCAGGAAGGGCACGGGTCAAGGCTGCATGTGGTTGGGCGCATCGCTGCGAGCAGTCTGTCAACTTCCTCCAGGCTGAGTGGGCTGAAGCAATCCAGGATCAAAATCGAAGACATGCAATGGACCTCGAGTTCATTCATTGTTTCAAATGTGGTGGGGAGGTCGCAGCGGAGTGCCAAGACTTTATCCGCAAAATAGCTCGCAAATGCCTCACAGCCAATATCCAATTCCCTAGTATTTTGTCTTCCCTCTGGCAGAACTGTTATCGACCGAATCATCCTAAACAATTGGGCTGGGTGAGAGCTAGTGGACGCAATTGCCGCCGCATAGAAATCCTTCTTTGCGGCATTGACTGCCATCTCATAGGCTTTCATAAATGTCCTACACAATGTTCCCTCTAAGCTGTGGAGTCTTGTGAGCAAAAATTCTACTTTGTGAGCTACTGGCATTAAAGTTGTGAGCGAGTGATTTGGCTGCTGCATAGGTTAGCTTGCTCTGGAGCCATCCCTTCCTGAGCTAAGACGAAAATATGTGAGCCAGAGGCTAAAAAACTGTGAGCTAGCTCACACTAACTCAGCTTAGAGGGAACAGTGGTCCTATAAGATGTTCTTGTTACTTTGTCTCGAGCTTGACGCCACCGTCTCTCTAGCCGTCTGAGCTCCCGCTTCATGAGCCGCAGCTCCTGGGTATACCAGGGAGCCAGCCTAGTGCAGGGGCATAGAGGGCACCGTGGAGCGATCTCGTCAATGGCTGCGGAGAGCTGGCTGTGCCAGTCCTCCACAAGCTCATCGAACAAGCCGCCAGGGGGCATTGGATCCCGCAGGGCCATCTGGAACCGCGCTGGGTCCATCTGGCTCTGCAGGTGAGCCAAAATACACTCGCCGCCTAAACAGGGTTGGGGTGAGACATTCAGGTGGGCCCCTAGGGCATGGTGGACCGACCATGGGACTGCTGAAGCAGTAACCCAATCCACTGTTACCCCACCACAAAGATCAAATCGAGCGTGTGCCCAGCCTGATGAATGGGGGTCATTACATATTGGGAGAGTCCCAGTGCTGCCATGGACGACACCAGGTCCGCTGCCTGAGTAGAGGTTGTGGCATCAGCATGGACATTGAAATCACCCAAGACTATCAGTCTAGGGTGTTCCAATGCCCAGCCTGCTATGGCCTCTATCAGGGACAGCAGGCTATTGGCAGGTGCGTTAGGCGGTCGGTACACCAGCCAAATTGCCAAACTCTCCCCAGCCTCCCAAACCAGGCCAGCACACTCAATGCCCGTGATCCTCGGAGGTGGAAGCGCCCTAAAGGAGTAAACCTCCCGGATGAACAGTGCCACTCCTCCTCCCCGCCCCCTAGTCCGTGATTGGTGAAGGACCGAGAACCCAGGCAGGGCAAATTGGGAGAGAGCTACTGTCTCCTCCTCCCGCACCCAGGTCTTGGTCACACACACCAGGTCTACATTCTGCTCTTGCAGAAAGTCCCTAAGGACCATGGTCTTATTATTTATAGACCTGGTGTTACACAGTACCAATGTTGGAAGGGAGTTATATTTCCTAGCCCCACTGCCGACATCCCTCGGGATGGGATGCAGGCTGGAAGGGGGCCGAGCTTTCCTGTTTCTCTGCCCCCTTCCCATACTACTCTGCCTGCTCCCACCACTGTACTTTCCTCTCCCCAGGAGCACCGGAATTCCCTGACCCAACATCATTGCCCTCGGTGGTCTCCGCAAAGCTTCAGACCACCGGCCGAGCAGACAGCAAAGTGCTCAACCTATTTCTCAAGGTTGTTGTTGTTCAATCGCACAGTCGAGTCCGACTCTTCGCTTCCCCATGGACCAGATCACGCCAGGCCTTCCTGTCTTCCGCCGTCCTCTGAAGTTTGCTCAATTTCATGTTTGTTGCATCTATGACACTGTCTAACCATCTCATCCTTTGTCGTCCCCGTCTTCTTTGACCTTCAGTCTTTCCCAAGTTACTAAGTACAGTAAAGTGCAATGTACAATACTGCTACTCCTACAGTTTCCCAACCTATCCTACCACAGAAAGAATTAATCCAGAATTGATTGCCAATAATAATCAGATGTCTGGCCAGTAAATAGGTAAAGGCCATTCAAAATGCCCCCCCACCCTCCCTCTTTTTCTTTTTTCTTTTATAAAGTACCCCCATTTATATTTTATTTATTTTATTTCCTACACACTAGTTAATTTAATCAATAATAACAATCACTGTATATATTACAAATTGGTTGGACGGTCTTATAGCTGAGAGCAGATCCTGCTCACTACACAATTTCCATAATATAACTCAGCTAAACAATTAATTCAAACAACACAGCTCCTAACTTAATAACTTTCCACATTAATTAATTCAATACCATCTAACTCTCTTACTCCCTCAATTAATTAATTACTAATATTAATTCCCCGTTTGTTATCCCTCCATGGCTTTGAGCGCCTGGTTCATCCATCCTGCCTCCTTTGCCGGTCTACTGCCCTCACTGGGTCCATTAGCTTTTCCCCGCACTTGCTTGTGTTTGCTCATCAGGGGGTCTTGTATGGTTGGGGTATAACTGCTTAGCCCACTCATTTTATGTTATTCCTGACACAGAAGTTCATGGAGTGTCCTTTACTCTGATCAATAAACTGAACCTACTTAGGTCCTGAGTGTTGGTGCTGAGTTATTGGAATACCTGACAGCAATGTGTGTTAGGTCATAGTACCCTTCCTATATTAGGACTTCGAGTTCCTCCTGTTTGTTTCCCATACTCTGTGCATTAGTGTAGAGACATCAGAATCCATGTTTTATGCACCCTGAGGTTTTCATATCTGTACTTACCTGTGAGTTAATGTTACCTAGCGTATGTGCCACTCCCCGCAAACCTTTAGCGTTCTTATCTCCAGTTATTGGCATCATACTAGGTTTTGAATTTTTGTCTCGTTTCCCCATATGGTTTATCTTAAAGCCCTCCTTATTAGGTTTGCAAGGCTCTTACCAAACACATTTTTCCCTACCCTCGTGAGGTGCAAACCATCTCCCAAGAAGGGAGAAGAACTTCATCTCAAAAGCTTAAGCCATGGTCCAAAAATCCAAACCTTTCCTGATGACACCATCTATGTAGCCAGCAGTGTTCTCTCTAAGCTGAGTTAGTGTGAGCTAGCTCACCGTTTCTCAGCCTCCGGCTCACACCTTTTTGCCTTAGCTCAGGAAGGATGGCTCCAGAGCAAACTAATGGATGCAGCGGCAAAATCGCTCGCTCACAGCTTTAATGCCAGTAGCTCACAAAGCAGAATTTTGGCTCACAGGACTCCACAGCTTAGAGGGAGCATTGGTAGCCAGTTATTTATTTGCAGTATTCTTCTTTCCCTTCCTAAGCCATGGCCTTCAACAGGAAGAGCTGATGAAAACACAACCTGTGTTCCCAGGTCCTTCAGCTTCTTACCCAGAGCCTCAAAGTCTCTTTTAATACGTTCTGGGCTGTGCAAGGCAGTATCATTTATTCCCACATGGACCAACAAGAAAGGATAATAATCCATTGGCTTGATGAGTCTTCCTACCCTTTCCATCACATCCTGGATGCGTGCACCCAGTAGACAGCATACCTCTCTAGATCACAAGTCTGGTCAGCCCACTTTATCCTCTACCCCTCTCAGTAGGGAAACCCCAATTACCATCTTATCAATATACTTTATGTTCTGATTGGTGCCATGAATATTTAATGGGAGAAACTAAGTAAATTAACTATTTCTCAGATAACAAATCATTTAGACTCTCCCTTCTACTGTGCTTCCACAATATCATAATTTTCTCCATATTTAGGATTTTCACATCTATGTAGGATAAATTACTCTTTTCAGTTCATGGCCGCTTTGAACAATTATTTTTGAAGAGACTAAAGAGTTGGGCTCATTTTCTGTAGCAGAAAACTGCAAGGACTTTATTGAAAGCTCTTTATTAGCTCATAGGTTGAAGGACAGTAGTGGAAATGCAGCTGAGCGAGTAAAGCTTTAGAGGTGATCTCAAGTCGTGTCCCTTGGCTTTTCTTATTCCAGACATGGACTGCATAGGTATTTTTAAACAGCTCTGAAAGTTCTGAAGGTCTGATGACTTCAAAAAAATTTCTCCAGTCCTTCCAGTGAATGGGATAAAATGCTTCTTGGGGGAGAACAGTGACTCCTCTACAACCTTTGCTACTCTTGAGGCTCTTGATAGCACACCACTTCTTAAACACACGGGTGAAGAGCTCTGGGCCTTGGTGTCCCCAGATCCATCTGCTGTAATCAGCCACAAAGTCTTGCATACAGCACTGTATGAACCTGTGTCTTGATTCAAAAGAGAGGAAAGCCCCATTCAGTGTATGTTCGGACTGGGTGCCAAGCACATTGGTGAGGTTTTTTAAACTCTTAAGGACAATGAAATCTGTGTCTAAGTAGATTCCACCAAATTTCCACATGATAGCTAATCGACAGGCATCAGAAAGAATGGGCACAAAATAAGGTTCCCATCTATGTTGGGCAACTGCATACCAGTCAGCCAATGGAGTGTCCACAAAAAGGTCCTTCACGTCCAAAGGTTTGAATTCGATGTTGGTGAAGCACCGCAACAAAGAATATTTTCTTAAAGTAAAATTGTTCTTCACAAAGCCATTCATAAGTACAATAATTCTACTTTCTGGGTGAACCCTGGCTGCTGATTCA